CCGCACGTGGGGACGGGGAGGGGGCCCGAGCCGCCCGCCGAGAGGTTCGAGAGCAGCGCCGGGGGGAGCGCGTCGCGGCGGGCTCGGGGTGAAAGGTCGGACTTTGGTGTTCTCGTTATTCAGGACAGTGCCACCTGTCATTCTTCCCAGATGGTGTCCACAGAGCCTCCTCAGTGCTCGTTAGCCTGTAGATTTTTCTGCGGTTTGGGGAAACAAAGGGAGAAACGAGAACCTCGGAACATTGCGCGTTCCACGTTTTGGCGGCGGAAAGCTCCCTTGGGAGCATTGCCGTGACGAGTCCTGGGATACCGCCGCGCCCACGGGGCCCTGGTTAGCCGGTGGGGACACGGCGTGGCCTGCCCTGCTCAGGCGCGGGGCCCCGAGCCACAGACCTGGGCTCAGCCCCTGCCTCGCCCGGGAAGACTCGGCTTCGCGAGACCCCGGATGGGGAGCTCGGCAGTGTTGACGTTGTTGCTATAACTGCACTGAGGATACTTTCAGCAGAGAGTTGAAAATGAACTAACGTAATGAATTTCGCGTAGCTGGTGAACACGCACGCCGCTCAGCGTCCTGACCGTACGGGCGGCGCCGCCCGGGGCGGGGGCGATGTGCCGCCGGTGCAGGCTCCTTACATAAAAGTTTGAGCAGCGCGCCGCCTGTGTCCCCCACGACTGGGGAGAGACGAGGCGGCTCACTCTGAGCGGAGGGTAGGCTGAGGGGGCTGCGGCCTCTGGGTCCTCATGGGAATCCTGGCCCGGGGTTCAGATGTCTGGGAAATTTACCATTTCCCGGCATCCTGGTCTGTGCGGCCGCGTCTGGTTTAGTCTGTTTGGCCGTCTCTGGGCTGCGAGCCGGCATTATTTTCTCAGTTTCCATAGAGGAACCTGTTAAGCCCCTGAGGGGAAGTTAAGTTCAGGCTGTTTCCGTCCAGCCTTAGCTTTGTTGAACTTGTATTTCCTGAGGGCATTTGTGTTAGCGAGGGTGATTTTCCTCTTACTGTATTTACAAAAGCCTCATCTATTGTTTCAATCATGTGGTCGCTCTGCAATAATAGAACATAAATAATGATTGACTTCCAAAGCTGTATCACACAAGTGCATTATGTGTCAATATATGTCATTTTGGAGTATGTATGCAGAGCTCTGCAGATGTCCCTAAGATTCCTGTCCCCTGGTTATTCGGTCAGACATTCAGCTGGGCACCGTTGCGAGGGGACTTTGCAGATGTCATCGGCAGCTTACTAACCAGCTGACTCAGACAGGGAGATCAGCGTAGACTCGGGGTACGACCATAACCGCACAAGGCCCCGAAACGGAAGGAAAGGCAGGAGCGGTGAGGCAGGACGGGAGCTCTGAGGAGGAGCTGGAGAGTGACCAGGACCTGAGGGCCGTGGGCGACTCTGGACCCCACAGTGGTCTCCGGCCAGCGGCAGCAGGGACCGTGGACCCTCAGTGCTACAGCCGCAGGGAACTGAGCTCTGCCAGAAACCCGGATGAACTTGGGGAGGCGGCCCTGCCAACTCCTGACTGCTGCCTCGCGCGCCTCTAAGCAGCCAGCCAACTGACCCATGCTGTGCCCAGCCTTCTGTCACCTGGAAACTGAGATCATCAGTGGGCGGTGTTCTAAGCCACTGAGTTTGTGGTGATTTGTCACATCAACAATAGCAAATGAAGTCAGTATGTTATTGAGGGGAGTTTTGTTGTTGCTGTATCTTAGTAACGTAATAAAATTCCGTTTAGTCATTCTTGTCTTTTGTGTCTTAGTGTCTAGTTTGTCCTGCTACACTTGAAGGTGGCACACCCAGCATGAAGGTAGACTTCACAGAAGCAGCTGGCCTGTGGCACGGGGTTTGGGTAGTTGGGACAGGGTGCAGGCACCCTTTTTTGTCCTTAGGAGTAGTCACAGAGCTGCAGCAACCTAGACTCGGTAGGACCTTGGCTGTGATTCCGTTCAGGCCCCGACTTTACAGGAAGTTGAATAACAAGTGAGATGATTGGCCTAGGTTCTTAAAACGAAAAAGGAGAACCAGGAAAAGAACCTGGTATCTTTTCTGGATGTTTTGCCTCCACGCGTCACCCAGCCTTTCCCAGAAGTGTCAGTGGTGGACTTAGGTGTGAGCTTCCTGGGGCCACCGTAATGGAGTAGCCCAAGCTCGGTAAAATTTAATAAGCGGTACTTTATTCTCTCACGGTTCTGGATGCCAAAAGACCCAAATCAGGGTGTCTGAGGACGGGGGAGGACTCCCTTCCGGCCTCTTCCAGCCTCCGGGGGCTGCCACTGGCCTCGCTGCTCTCGGGCTTCTGGGCGTGTCACGCATGGCCTTCTGCCTCCCAGAAAGGTGCCAGTCATCTTAGGGCCACCGAAGCCCGCTGTGGCCTCATTTTAACTCAAGCACCTCATCAGGGCCTCCGTTTCCAGATAAGGCTGCTTTCACAGATTCTGGGGGACGTTCTTCGACTCGGTGCAGTGTCTAATAGGAACCCCGAACGTACACGTGTAGAACTGAGCCCCTGCTCTTCCCGGAACCATTGTTACTCTCACCGCTGTCACCCTCCTCCCAGTCAGCGGCAGCCTCGTCCTCCCAGGTATGTGGGCTCAAACCGCAGCTCCAGCCTTGCTGCCTCTTTCCACAGGTGACCTGTCGTCCCACCTTCAGACGGCATCCGAGTCCCACGCCAGCCGGGCGCGCCCTCAGGCTGGGTGCCCGCCGTGTGAGCCCGCTCGCCCTTCAGCTTCTGCTCTTGCCTCAGTGGGTTCTGGTCGTCACACACAGCAGAGAGTCGGGTTGTGGCGCTGCCTAGGACCCCTGGTTGCAGTAAAAACCGAAGTCCTCGCAGTGGCCTGGCGGGCTTGGCATGCTCTGGCCCCTCTCCTGCCTCTGACCTCATCTCTCCCCCTGAGCTGGCACCCTCCGCTCCAGCCCCGGCTTTGTCGTTGGCACCCTCCCCCCCGGGCCCGGGCTCTTCCCCGGCCGTCTTCATCACTCGTGCCCGGCTCCCCTGGAGAAGCCATCCCCGAACCAGTCCACCCGTCCTACCTGTTACTGTCATCTTTCCCTGTCGTTAACCCTTTTTAGCTTTTGATTGTGAAGCTTATAGGTAAAAGTGTGTCAAACACGTACGTTCAGATGAAATAGAATGAACGTCTGCACCCGAGGCACCCGGCTTCAGAAACAGGGCGTTAACAGTGATTTAGAAATCTCCGTACGCCTTCCTATTGCCACCAGGGCACCTGCCATGTGCAGCTCTCCCCGTGGAGACACTGGCCCTCTGGGGCGTGGCAGCGGGGTACGCATGCAGATGCGCCCGTCCCCCGAGGTTCTGGAGAGGGTCCTGGCCAGCCCCCAGTGTGGCTTTCATCAGGGGCCTGGCCCTTGGGCTGTGAACTGCGATTGGCTAGTGGCCCCCTTCACAGAAAGGCCACGCTTCCTGCTCCCTGTCCGTTGCCTCTGCCCTGCCCCAGGGGTGGTAGGTGTCTCAGAACTCTCCCTGTTGGTGACAGTCCCATGTGGCCCATGAGGGTGAGACTCACTGGCCCCCAGAGCAAGGCAGTGTAGAGGTATCGCCTGGCAGCAGTCACAGAAATCAGGATGCCAGACTGGGGTTTGAATTCCTTTCTGGGCGACACTGATTATAACAGTCCCATGTACCCAGGGACACAAGCTCTCTTGTCCTCCAGAGCCAGGTGATCCAGAAGCACTCCTCGGCTCCTGCTGCAGAAACCAAGGTGGCAGATGTGTGTGAGGCTACCCCAGGCGTTGCTGGTGCTAGAGCCTGGCCAAGGAGGTGGAAGTGGCACCCTGGGCTCTGTCCCCAGAGAGTTCTGCATGTGTGCAGGTCCAATCCTGTCCCCGGGCCACCCTCTGAGCCAGGCCTGGGGTCCTCCGATGGCTGCTGTCTTGTGGGGTTTCCAAGTGAGATGTTTGGAGGCTGCTGCCTCGGGTGCAGGGCTTAACAGCTGGCAGCACAGCGTGGGGTTCGCACCCTCCTTCCTCAGGGAGAAGCTCTGTGTGCTGAGTCCGTCCCGGCCGCGGGTGGCTGTGCCCGGGGGCAGGGCTCAGGGTAAGAAGTGTCCCAGGCGCTGCTCCCGCTTCCACGTGGTGTCTTCCGTTTTCCGTGTGTGGCTGTCGCTCAGCCAGCCCTCGCGGGCTAAGGAAATTGCCCCACATAGAGCTTTTGAGTCATCGTGTTTTTTCAGGGCAGTGAGTCCGGGTCCTCGTGCGTCACCATCTTCTCGTCGTGCTTTTAATTCACGTTTCCCTAGTGACCCGTGGTGTTGAGTATTATTTCATGTGTTTATGTGCCGTCCATTTCTTTTTTGATAGGTCATGTGTCTCTTGCTCACTTTTTAATTTTTTTTTTATTAAGTTGTAAAAGTTCTTCACGTGACGTAGCTGCTCCTG